ATGTTATGATCTTGGAGTAGCCTGTCTTCAAGAAATTTTGCGACAGGACGTATATAAGGTTGAACCAAGAAATACAACGGGCCGTAGAAAACGCAACATAGTAGTATACAAGCTGCTTTCACTATTAGAACACTAAAAAAAAGATAAGCAAACAAATGAGCTAACAATAAATAGCAATTTACAAAATAGTCAGATTGAAAATAACAATGTAAATGCCAGGCAATTGCATGAACAAGAAGGTACAAAGTGTTAATGTAGAGTTATAAACGATAATAAAAAAAAAATTCTTGAGGATTTACTTAAATATGATAATTTCTCTGAAGATAAAGCCATTAAAATATTAAGACAACTTCAGGAACAAAATAATGACTGGGACATGCAACGTGTTCGAATCTATTGGAATAATAATCGCTACAACAAGAAAAAAAAAGTCTCTCCTGATATGTAAACCAACGGTATAGATTTTATGATTTTTAAAACAATCCATATTTTTTTATGGCGAATTTATAGTATGCAAAATTGATAATAATTACTACTATTTGATGTCATAACTTCGATTGAAATGAACAATCAAAGTATCGGTATACGTACAATAATGTCGATTTTGTATAATACTAAATAATAAGGAAAAAAACTTAAAGGTAACCTGATTGTGTTTTCACTTTATTAAGATACAAAATAAATTTACCTTTCTTTAATTAGATTACTGTTCAAGAGTTGAATCTGTTTAGGCCTTTGGATTTAAACTTAAGAGATAGTTATTTTATGGCGACTGTAGGTATTAAACTTAGTGCTATCGTTTTGTTATTACTATCATATTTTAATATTTAACTTTTTTAAAATATTCAATGAAATTTAAATAGAATTTTTAGTTGTGTTAGTATCATTTGAACAATATAAAGGTAATTTTAATATATTTACTGTTGACTACTGCTTACAGTACTCAGGGGTCTTATTCAAAAACCCCAATTGAATGGCACCTATGGTATTGTATAAACTGGGTACTATATTTGGGGATTATGAGGTGTTTGTTATTTTGCTACAAAATTTTTGAGAAATTAATGAATTAACGTAAGCATAAGTAAGTATTTTATTCAATCTTTGAATACTTGATATTTTGTTATAGTTAATTCTAAC